GGGTGAGTGTTGCCATCTCACCCCAAACTGCTCCCTGGTCGGTGCTGTAAGGGACAGCCAGAGCACATCTCCAGCTGCTCCGACATGCCAGCAGGCTCACATCCCCTGCTGCTGCCAGACAAGCTCCATCCCTATGGTCCTGGGTTGAACCCCAGCTTGCTGAGATCACCAAAACCCCCTCTGAGCAGGACTGGCAGCTGCTGGTGATGACCTGGGCAGGCAGAGCGGGCAGCTCGGGCACCAAGTGCATCCTGCTGGCTCTGGTGCCATGTCTTTGGAGCACACCAAGATCCACCTCCCTCTGTGTCTGCCATGCTGTGGCCACCAGTGCTGCCATCAGAAGATGCTCTGTCTGTCTGGGTAGATGGCACAAGCTCAGATCCCTTGGAGAAAGTTTTTTGTCCACATCAGCTCCCAGGAGGAGGAGGAAAAACAGAGGCTGTAAGGCAAAGGGGTCTCACCTTGTCCTGAGCCAAATACCTGAAATTGTTGGCTGCGTGACCAGGAGAGGACAGTCCTCAGTCCTGCTCTTCCTGGTCTGCATAGAAGGCTAAGAGCTGTAGGGAAGAGATTTGGAGAAGTCAGGTCTGGCAGTTCTGGTGCCAGCCTCCACTGTGGAGACCTGGACTTGGCTTTCTTGCTTTGTCCCAGGTGCCCTCTGTGCCCCTCAGGGAAGGGGCGAGCCCTGCTGTGTGCTGGAGGCTTCTCACAGTTGTGAGGGCTTCATAACATCAGTGTGGCAGAATGTCCTCAAGCCAAGCCTGTGCCACTGAAGTTCCTCCACTCACGGAGGCTTTTGCTGACTGCCTTGGGCTCAAATCCCATCCTGTGCAGACTAATTCTCCTCAGAGGAGCAGTGCCAGCAGCTGAGAGCCTCCTAGAAAACCTCCTGTGGTTTCTAACTTGCTCCCTTATCGCTTCAGCACACCCTTCCCATTTGAGATTTCTACTCTTGCCCCCTGTCCTTTGGCAGGAAGGATGTTTAGCAACTTCCACTCACAGGCCTGCAGGGCAGCTACACGGAGGGGACCTCTCCTTTGGAGGGGAGGCTGGGAGAGCGTGGGCACGGAACGAGCAGGGTACGTGCACCAAGGGGCACAGGCGTGGGGCAGAGGAAAGAGACCTGGAGGATGGGGCTGGATGGAGAACATCAGGCCATGGGGCAGGATAAGTGGGATGGTGTTGAAGGGAGCAGGGTTTGGGGGCAAGAGAAGCAAAGGAACAAATAGGAGGTGGAAGGAGCCAGGGTGTGTGTGTTTATGGGGAAGGGCAAGAAGCAGGAGGATGGAGAGGAGGTGGATGGAGTAGGGGAGGAAAATGGGCTGCAAAAGAGGAAGGGAAGCTGGGGGTGCAGAAATGTTTGTGGCAAAGGCAGGGGTGAAGGTGAAGGGCAGGTGAACAGGGGGCGGGTTGTGCATCCGCATTAGAGGCACGTGTGGTGTAGGGATGCAGTTTTCTGGGTTTTTGAGGTTCCTCTCAGGGTCTGCTCTGGTCTGTAGGCACCACACAGACCCCAGAGACATGCGAGGGAAGGTCCTGTCCCAAGGGCAGGGCGGAGCTTGGGCCACAAGCCCCAAGACTGGGGCTGCTCCTCGGCAGCCATCTGCCCGCGAGCAGGAAACAGCCAAACCGCAGAGGGGATGGGAAATGATTTGGGTAAAACAGGAGCTGTGTTGTCAGAGCAGGCTGTGAAATGTTTGTGACGAGGGCTGCCCAGCCCCCCCCCGGGGCTGCTTCCACCCAC